TCGCGGTCCACGTCCTGCCATTAGGCTACTGTCGCTATAAATTAACTCTATATTTGTCTTTTTCTATTATCATTTAATGAAGAGAAAGAAATCAAATTTAAACATTATACTTAAATTAACGTATTTTTATGAGTAAGGTCTTATAAGTCTAGTCATGTGATTTGGATATGCCCCCATGAGCAACGACGCAGACAAACGGCCCCCAGTCCCCGGCGGCCCCGCTATTCCTGGCTACGGTGGCGACCATGGTTACGGCGGGTTGGGGGGTGCTAAGAATCTCCGGTGGAGGTTCGGTTGCCACCTACGACGACTCGACCTGGTAACGTATAACCCACGCACCCTGAGGACTGACGAGAAGATACTGGAGCTGGAAGAAGAGGTAGACAAGTTGCGTTGGCATATTATTGGATTATCTGAGGTCCGAAGAGAGGGGGAGGACACGGTAATCCTCGAGTCCGGCAACTTGTTCTATCACCGGGAGGGCGACCATCTGTCCCAAAGAGATGTCGGATTTATCATCCACAAGTCTCTCGTCAACAACGTTGTAAAGATTGGGAGTGTGTCGACGAGGGTCGCGTACCTGATACTCAGAATCACCAAACGGTATTCGCTGAAGGTCATACAGGTCTACGCACCAGCCTCGGCATATCCCGATGAGGAGGTGGAGGAAATGTATGAGGATATTTCTAGAGCCATGCATTCCTCCAAAACCCACTACACGGTGTTGATGGGAGACTTCAACGCAAAACTAGGCACAAGAGAATGCGGTGAGCTGAAGTTAGGGAAATTTGGAGTAGGGCAACGGAAACGTAGGGGCCAGCAGCTGGCTGACTTTATGGAGAAAGAGGGACTCTTTATGATGAACTCTTTCTTCCAGAAGCGGCCTCACAGGAAGTGGACCTGGTCGAGCCCCGACGGTTCGACAAAAAATGAGATTGACTTCATTATGACGACCAGACGCCAACTGTTCAGTGATGTCTCAGTGATCGCAAGGGTGAAAACCAGCAGCGATCACCGAATGGTTAGAGGCACACTGAACCTAAACGTTAAGTTGGAGAGGTCTCGTCTAATGAAGTCAACGCTCCATCCCCCTCGTGCTCTAATCCAGAATCCCGAAACCTTTCAGTTCGAGTTACGTAACCGCTTTCAGTGCCTAGAAGATTGCAATGCAGTGGACGATATGAATGACAAGCTCGTGGAAACTGTCCATGTGGTCGGAGCTAAGTTCTGCAAGACCCGCCGCAGAAGAACACAAAAACTCTCCGATCACACTCTTAATCTCATGGCTGTTAGACGGGAGATGAGGCTGCAATCGTCATCAGATTTGACAGCATACAGGCAACTGAACAGACAGATCTCCAAATGCATGTGGCGAGACTTACGCAACTTTATATTATTATAAATCTATGTAAACTACCAAAATAGTCACAAAATTAAACTTGCAAACATTTGCTAAATATGGTTTTGCCGAGTTATATTAAACACGCTTTACGCATTTTGCAAACAGTTTCAGACAGACACACATTATTAGTTTGTTATATTTTGTAGAGCTCAAGTTCACTCGTCCCTACGTCACACCTTATGATGCGTTCAGAAACAAATATAATTCAGTTACATAAAATCCTTTTTTCTGTTCCGTGCTTTATTGTTTACAAATAAATAGCTTATTCTAATCTGAGCTATATTTTTCTTATTCGTCGGCCAATTCTACCAGAAGTATAAAGATAACATTGAAATGAAAAGATAAGTAAATTTTTGTACATTTTAGTGTTCTAGATCTTGTTTTCCGAACGCAACCCTATTCATATAGAATTGAAGGAAGATTTGTATATATTATATTGTATAGTACCTGGGTGACCGATCATTTCTCGGTATTTTTTTTGGAAATCGTGTGTTTTGGAAGTTATATTTAGATTAAAAATACATACTGATAAAATATGAAGAATGTTTTTTGATCTTACTGACATAATAGAAAAAAATTGAACTGGTTATTAAAATGAAAAATCATGAGTGCAATAAAATTTTCGTATTTTTAAAAAAAATACTACAAAAAAGGGCTCGAAATAATAGATTTTCTCACAAAAGAAGGGAACTTGAAAAAAAAGGGAAAAAAGTCAATCCTAAGACAAGACGCGAACCATGGAACTACGATTTCGCGACAGTGCGTTATCCACTTGAGCTATTACGACCATTATTACAGTGTTAAAATTTACCTTCTTATATTGTAGTTTTTCATTGCCTGAAAACGGGGATAAAGCGACATTTTATGAAAATCGTTGAAGCCGTTTCCGAGATTCCGATTATATATATATATATATATATATATATATATATATATATATATATATATATATATATATATATATATATACAAGAATTGCTCGTAGGTATAGGATTTATATTTTTGTTTTACTAAAAGCTTTTGTTGAGTGCTTCGAAATTAGGAAATATTATTTTTAAACTTCCTGGATATCACAAAATAAATCGTGTTATAGATTTGTTGTTATCTCTTGTTTGTGAATTATAGTTTCTTACGTGTTGGTTATGAAATGTCTAATTATTGTTATAATTGTTACTGTTACAAATCATCAGTGTTATTAGTTTTGAGTGAATAGGCATGTATCAGTATAATTATGTTGCTTCAAATAGGTACTTCTGTTTTGATAAAAAAATCAATAGTGTAATGTAATAAAATAAAACTGCGTTATATTGTAATCAATGTTGACATAATTTATTTCCCAAAGTTATAAATCAATTAAATAGTTTACGCCAACAAATATAAATTTTATTTTTATAACAATCGTACATAGCGTTTTGTAGTTCTGCCTACCCAATCTACACATACAGAAAAATTAAAACTTGTTTTTTTACATACACGCCATCTAGTGTTCTGGCTTCGTAAACGTAGGGATACGTCTATGTGTGTGTAAACGACCCTATATTCAATGACAGATGTTATAATCAAAATTAATGTCGAATTGGGTTGATTTTGAGGCAATGATATGACCCATTCCAATAAAATGCAATATCCGATAACCGCTAAGTCTACTCCTACGACTTAATACTTTTCCAATTACACAAAACTCCAAATAAACTAAAAATGTTGACTTCAGCGCCATCTTGCGGGAGAATGGCTGGGAACAGTCCGTAGGTTTCACCTTAATGGTCTTATTTGAAACGTTATCGAAGTCGTGAGACAACACTATTACAGGTTTCTTCGTTATTGTCTTTAATCTTGCTGATTTGACAGTCAAAACTCGCGATACCTGTTCCCAGTTATATTTTCGGAACAAATCTCCCCAGGCAGTGGCGTAGCTAGGTAACCAAGGGCCCTGGGGCAAATCAAAAAATGGGGTCCCACTGCTGTCTAAACTGGTTAGGTTTTATCAAGTAAAAATATTAAATATACAAATACTTTAAAAACGTTAAACTTACTTGATCATCAGCTCTTTTTCGTACTGCAGGGCAGTTAATAAAATATTAAACAGTAACAACATAAATTACAGTTAATACTTAGTGTAGGTATTGGGCAATAAAATGTAATAGAAAAGATTTAAAGGCTTATTATATAAAGGTCGGACCTACCAACTGACTAAATAGCAATTATATTTACAATCTTTTCCTAGCCTCTTTTCGCAGAAGTATCAATGACTTCGGTTTTAAATCCAGGCATGATGCGGTTTCGTTTTCAATTGTTATTAGCGATAAATGTCGGAGTCGAGTTTGGCCCATACTATTTCTTTTTTTTATTTTTTTTTTATTTTTGCTAAATATGAATTGTAAAGAATAATAACTTTGCTGTAAATACTTCCGTTAGGTCGCAATCTAGCACTCCATATTTGCTCATTATTTCCTTACATAATTGGTGAACAGTCCATGCTTGACTTAATTGAGGTAAAACTAGGTGGTAAATATTAATAAATTGAAGTGAAAAGCTAGGGCCTATTATATCTGAATATTTCCTTTGGAATTCGTCACACTTCTAATAAAGTTGCTTCATCAACATGTAATAAAAATGTTGGTGTAAGAAGACAGACAGACTTCGACAGACTGCACGCATACGAGTAGAACGTGTAGGTATTTAATTGAGTTATTAATGGGTCTAGTACATTACTGAAAATCTCAATTTTAAGTATTTCTTTTCTATTTGGAAATCGGTGGTCGGCAGCTAATTAATCAAAATGCTTTTTAACTTTCCTTCGCATTTTTTCTTGAAAAGGGGGATCTATACCGTATTTTCTTGCAGTTTCACTGGCCTGCACTTGAATAGTTCGAAATCATTTCTACAAATTTGCAACTTTGTTTTCGTCTCTGCTAAAGCTTTAATTGCCTCGCCCAAATTGATGTCGCATTTTTGTAAAGTTTCGGATGCATTTTTTATAGGATAGGGTGACAGAGCGCACAGTCCACCTGATGGTAAGTGGATGCTGCAACCCATAGACATCCACATCCATCCTCGAATACAAATCAAAATACTGATGCATTGTTACCCGTGAGGACTAAGATGGAATGCCTCGATTCCAGTAAAAAGGTTCTCCGGTTCCCTACACTCACCATACGAAACACAGCAGCATTAAGCTAACGCTGGTATTCTGTAAGAACGTGGTCCTTCCCCGGTGGAGCCGACCCATTTGTGCTACAACTATACTACTAATATAACTTCAGCATGGATCTACCACGTATAAAATTCATAATTGATGTCATTCAATACACTGTGCATGAAATCGCAAAGCAACACGAACTCGAAATTTAGCATTTTTTTTGATACTCTGCTTCACTTCACTACATTCGCCAGTGAATTTTGACAGTAGACGTTTGATAATATTTCCGAAAAAAGTTATACAAATCGTTGCAACGCTGCGAAAAAAAACTGTATTTCCACACAACTGCTAACGGCATCATTTATCACCAAATTTAAATTATATGTACGTACTCCGCGTTAGGCCAAACATTATTCCTTTGTGAAGCAAATTACCAGCAGGATTGACAATAGGCAGCGTCTAGTATTTTGGAATAGCACAACCAAAACGATTAACTGGTCCGTATTTTGAACTTGAAACGTAGTACGATTTTGAAAAACACCTATTGTTCTGGTTGATGTCTGTTGGAAAAGGTCCTGAAGGCTGTAAAGGCCCCATATCAAGAATTTGACGTTTTTCGTTATCACTTAATATTTTGTCTGTGAAGTTTCCCAAGTCATAAAAAGATTTATCGTACTCATTTTCAGAAAATGTAGAGGTCTGTAATTCCTCCAAATCCTCCGCTCTTATACGTGCCATGCAAACATCATCAACGTTTACATGATCGGCGGTGGAGGTATCTCCAACTGCAATAATTGTCGAATCTTCTTCAGTAGGCTTCTCAACCAACACTGCAGTTACCACATTATTTGAGTCACTATCAATAGAAATATTTTATCCAGAAGTACTTGTAGAAAAAACTTGTCAATTTTGGGAAATTTTTGTTTACTATCTTCTCTTTATTGTCGTTTTTTGCGTTTAAATGCACCACTGGATTTCTTCTTTTTTACTATAATATTAGTTTTCTAATTTATTTATGCAATATTTATATTAGATTGTGCTTGAGTAGGTACTCACTATTCACCGACGACGTTAAAAGTAAAAGAAAGGAGAAACGTAATGATACGCGCTACAAGACGTCGTTGGGGAATCCCCGGCGAATATTTTACTGCCGTTAGTGTTATCACATTTAAAGGTGTAGACCAAGAACGATCTCCTCGCGCGCGGGCCTGAATTAATGCACCTACTGCAGGTGACCTGCATTTTTTTCACGATATTTCGCATTATACAGTGAGTAGCCGAAATCTATAGATTTGACATGATTTATTGACGTAACAGAAATCAATATGAGTGGTACTAAAATCAAATAAAATTGAACTGCTATATTGACCAGTACTAAAAAGTTTACCTACTCCTGATACAGCATTAATTTTTAACCGTTCTCGAAAAAAAAATCATGACTCGAATTCACAATAAAACGCACATCGGTCAATAATAAAACGTAGATATCGCTATCCGTCAAATTGCCAACACTGCCAACCCACAGAAAGAATTTAGGGGAATTCCCTAGGTATAACTTTCGAATTTCTCTAAACTGAGTTGCCATAATTAAAGTCGGGTTGCAACCTGTCATATTTATTTTGAAAATGGGAGAAATTTTTAAAAGTTCGGTACGATCGAGATTTTCTGCTAAGGATACGGGGCCCCTGAGCTTGAGGGCCCCGGGGCACTACCCCGCCTAGCCCCTAGGTAGCTACGCCACTGTCCCCAGGGTGTCAGACTTTTTAAGTAAACATTGCTGGAAGACCAATGGTAGTGTCTCTTTACAGCTAGCGTTTCCAATATTAAATAATTCAATTTCTCGATGGCCAATAACGTCGACTCCGAAACCAGAATGTGTTATTGTAACATCGTTATCGTTTATTCCAACATTTATATCCAATGAGATCTTCGAATCAACTTTTTTTGCGGCAATTATAAATAAAATGAGTGCTTCAATAAATGTGTTCATTTTATATACTATAAAATTACATTGAATAAGACGTGCACTACATAAGAACTTATTGGTTTCTGATCTTAAAACCCACTCAATTTTTTTAAGTTTTTTATTTTTATCAGTTTATCCCTGCCCCTTTTATCAAAATTTATTCTGTTAAGACTTTTTTATAGAGATGTGTAGTAACTAACGAACGAAACTTTATTTTATAATTTCAATATACTTTTTTATTTTGGTTATGCAATTTCTTAAATACAAATGTGTTACGAACTTAGAAAGGCCTTTTAAAAGGCAAAACTGGTATTGGTTAAGTGATGACCCATAAGTTTTACTTACAAACTCATTAAAAATAAAATAATATAAAGTTAAGCATTTTAATCTGAACTAACTCACATCGAGTTTTAGTTAGAGTTTTCCTATCAACGAAATTGTGCCTGATCTCTCTCATTGTCAGGTCGTGTCGGATTGGCATGTGAGTTAGGAAACAGTGAGTGAATGTGTGCTTGCGCACACACTTGACTACTACAACCCTGTCCTGCGCAGATGGCTAGACTCTGTTGAAATGAAACTGGGCATCGTGACCAAAATTCTGTCTGAAGGATGTTATATATTGATTTATATTAAATTTCTAATTGCTGCCTCAGCTCTTAACAACTACGGATTTTGCAAATATTTGTGTAAAAATATGAATTATTTTTCACAATCAATTAGTAATAGTTGTTCATGGGCTTACAGTAGTTTCTTTACCATCAGATATAATAAAGATACCATAATTTTGAGTTTTGAGACTGATTAGTAAATTAGTATATATTTTCTCCAAACATCTAGACTGACTAAAACCTTCATTTAATTTATGAATAAAGACTTCAATGGGACATTCTAAAACCATAAATCTTGATCAGTTGATATAATTCAGTCATGAACGTTACTGGTAATGATCCACGTTTGATCTTCGGTGTCGTCGCATGCATGCTATGAAGGTTTTTATCAACAATAGGACGAATTTTGACACACGTGTGTTTGCACCTCCTCTGACTCTACCTGTTCTTATTATAATGATATAGAGTCGAATATTCGGTGCGATGTAGTTGTGAAACGTAGCCTGTGATGCGGTAGAGCTTTCCTTCCATTGATTTATAAATTACACTAGATCAGGTGTCAGCAACCTGCGGCTCGAGAGCCACATGCGGCTCTTTGGATGTGAAGCTGCGGCTCTTTAGTTCCTTACGCAAATATTATTTATTTTATAAAATAAAATATTTAAAATCGTTCTGAATCGATTAACGAGTAGGTATTAGGCACCATTTCTATCTCTCAGCCACTTGTACTCGCTTTTCACCGCACCCCTCCCCGGTGACACGCGTCGTCACTGTCGTAAGTCCGTCGAAAGCTCGGAAGTCTCTGAAGTTTTCAATAATATTTATGCAAGTACTATTATGCTTGACAATAAAAAAGGGGGCTCTTTAAATACTTTGAAATTGTTTTTTTTTTTAATTGTAATTTTGACTCTTCCGACTCAAAAGGTTGCCGACCCCTGCCCTAGGCCATAGTGTGCCTTGGTATAAATCCATTACTGGCCGTAAATTTAACATGACTGGTTTAAAATATAAATCGTACTTACAGGGTTCTCGTCAGGTATGTCAAGACATACAGTCCGATAGCGTATAGCCATGCAGACATCCCGTTTGGCGCAGCCGACGACTACGTACGCATCGTACCCAGCACCGATCAGCCACGACACCAACACGTGAGCTACTTCGAAGGGGTTTCCGCTACGACGGATGATCGCCGTGTACGGTGACATGATGCGTTCGGGCTGAGAAAAAGATATTCATATTTTTAGTTTAGTATCTAGTTTATTTCTACGGTAGGAAAATATTTGGGATAACTTTCGCATATCCGCAGTGGATCAGGAATTACTGACAAAGCGCAAAGTAGTGGTGACAATAAACCGGCCATATACATAGTTCTAACAACTGAGAAAAACCTTTCTGGCTGAACCCCTCAGTAGATAGAGAGACGACTTGACAAGTGTGATAGGAATAGATAAGTGTAAGCTACCCAGATTAATATTTTGTTATTATTTAACAATGGGATCATATTTCACGACTCCGTAGCGCAGTGGATAAGTGTCGCTTGTGATTCAGATATTTGTTCACGCGGAATTTATATTTTTAAAACTTTGATTATATAGGTACCTGTCATATAATCAAAGTTTTAAAAACTGTCTTTGCGACACACGACAATTGCCGAGTTTTTTAAATTTAAATAATAGTGTATAATATATTATAATATTTGTTATGTTAGTGAACCCCGAGTCATAGAATAAATAATACTCGTAGTAATATACACGTTAGTGGAGTCTTTATTACGTCTTTAGTAACATAAGTTATACATTTCAGATATTAGCGCCATCTTATGCTAGTTAATGACTTATTATTAGTACTCATTTTTGTCTCAAACAAACCTTGGACTTGGGTACTTATGAAAATCTTTAATTTCATTTTTAAAGGTTCTTTACAAATTCCGAGCAGATAGTTCATCAAATATGCGATAGATGGCACTATACCGTGAAATATGTAAGTCGCAGCCTGACCGTAGAATAAGGCAGATTGTGATTTGGTTGGGCACATCATGAAACACTGCCATTTTGTGATTTGGTCGATAATTTATAATTATGATTGGTGTATATATAAATATTTGGTAACTTTTTAAAAATGATGAATCTCATGAAATACCCCATTCGGATGGCGGGCTGCCTAATTCTACGATCAAGTTACGACATGTAATTACCTTACAGCAATCAAAAGTTCACAGCTGTACATAGGCTCCCACAAAGATTACTTCGTAGAGGGAATATTTGCCACAGTTGCCACGCTTGGCATGTTGTTCAGCTTCTCTCTGTCGCCTCGGGATGAAATACAACGTGTATATTATAATGATTGTGATTTTAATTTATTGCAAAGGTTTAGTAACGAATTGAATTTATTATCAAGTTTGAGCGGTCTTTAACAAAATTTGATAATTAATGCTAAACTTTCAACTTAATATACTATTTTACATAACATACATAAACACTCACGCCTGTCACCCAGAGGGGTAGGCAGAGACTACAGACTTCCATTTGGCACGATCCTGACACACCTCTCTCGCCTCCTTCACATCCATATACCTACGCATACATGCTCGTCGGTTAAGGGTACTCCTAATTTGGCCCGTTTTCAATAAATCACCAATTTGGTTGATAAATTTTCGCCTAGTACGTCCCTTTCCGACTCTGCCATTCACTGCTGCAACATAAATTTTCTTTGTCACTCTTTCCTCATTCATTCTTTCCACATGACCAAACCACCGAAGCATTCCTTTCTTCCTGGTCACATATACTATTTTCGGCCTTATTAAATCAATAGCCTAGAAAACTTACTCAGAGCAAACTTATATTGTTTCGGTATTTGGATAGGCAATTTGCCGTATATTAGTGGCGTAAGTTTTATTCCGTGGATGTTGCACGAGGAAACCATGCGAAATGTACGAAAGTTTTTATATCTTCCGACAGATGGCAGTATAACCATTCTGTTCACGCCAAACATAAGTGCTAGATATAAACGAGCTTGCGACACACCTAATAGAGATCGCCATCACCAATTATCATCTTTAATACTAGAAGAATCGCAACTTCGTTGCCGGCCTTTAAGCATAGTAAGATTTTTTAAGGCTTTCGAAAAAAAAAGCACGTGAGAAAACCGCCAGCATTAATTGATTCATTAGAGATGTTAAAAACTAATAGGCTAAGATCTGCACTATCACCGTAGTACTATTATTTATTCTGTGGTATTACACACATACTATGGGATTTTGAACGTTATTAAGGGAGGGTGGGAGGTGCACTTGAAACTAGGTAAGAGATATTATTTTATTTTATTAGGCGGATCTTATCAAATTGATTTCTAACAACATTAATATAATGGATTTCCGCAAAGTAACGTCTGATTCTATTAATAATCTTAATTGTTTCAATAATTGATTCACTGCAGCCTCTCAAAAGTTCACTACTGAACATAGTCCTCCCCATGAACTGTATAAACAGCTAATAGTAAGGTACATGAATAAACGTCGTCACCCTAATATTTCCCGCCCTATAAAACCAATACTTGGAGAAGGATGAAGGACAGAGACAAAAACAACAAGTTGTATACCATAACTTCAATTCAATTGCTTTCAATTGATCTAGTGAGTATTAATTCTTCCACAAAACACCTTAAAGAACTAAGTTACAAAACAAACACAACGTAAATAAGAGTCCTAAGACGATCACGCCATAAATATTACAAACGACCTATTACTAACATTTACAAATATCATTTGGATAGTTCGTAACATATTTGTTTATTCTGGTCACGTATATAGATATAATTAGATAGAAAAGGGGAAATAATATAATATATAAGAGTAGAGTAAAGTAGAGTACTCCCTCCGTACGTTTTCGAGCTTTGACAATAATTAGGAACACTTCGAAAAATCTACTTAAAATAACTAACTACACTACACCATACTAAAATCGACTAAAATATTTAGGTACTATAATGTCAACTGTCAAAATAGCGTCGACAAAGCATCACCCTATAGGGGTACATTAGACGCTCATGCAGGCTGTCAGTTTTACAAAAATCACGGTTGTGATTGACGAATAACCTACCGTGATACCGTGTAATGCAGTGATTGACTCTGACTGACTGCATGAGCGCGTAATGTACGCCTATCAGTCACCACCCCTTTAGGGGTATATGTGTTCTGTGGTCACCATCCATTTTTTATCAATCATGATTGATGGAATTGATTGACGCCTGCATAAGCGTCTAATGTACACCAAAGCCATCTATACAAACAAGGCTGTAGTTTTTGAATTACAACAAAGTAAACATATTAACCGGATGACCATACTACCCTCACGTGCTATATAGTTCAGACTTTTTACCGAATCAAATAAGAATATAAATAAAATTTAGGACATTCATTACAACCTATATATAAAAGTCCACTTCTGAACAAAGGACTCCCTCATAGATCCCATTACTATAGGAGGATATTTTTATTGGTTACTTTGAGTTTTTAGGAAGATGCTGCTGCGCATAACCTAGTTTAGTTTTTCTCTGTCGCCTCTTGTGCATGTGTGGTGTGGTAGTGGTACTTATATTGCCACTACACGGCTCGGAAGGTTCATCATCATCATCATCATTACAGCCCTTCACAAGTCCACTGCTGAACATAGGCCTCCCCCAAGTAATGCCACAAAGCACGATCCTGAGCCATCTGCATCCATCGACTTCCTGCATATCTTACCAGGTCGTCACTCCATCTAGTGGTGGGTCGCCCTACACTACGCCTACCGGTACGAGGCTGCCACTCGAGAACCTTTCTTCCTCATCGGTTATCGGTTCTTCGAGCTATATGGCCGGCCCATTGCCACTTCAGCTTACTAATCCGTTGGGCTATGTCGGTCACTCTGGTTTTACTGCGGATATCCTCATTTCTGAGTCTATCACGCAGAGAAACTCCGAGCATAGCCCTTTCCATAGCTCGCTGAGCGACCTTGAGCGTCCTCATACGGCCAGCACCGTGCAGAACCACGTCTCAGATCCGTAAGTCATCACTGGCAACACGCACTGGTTGTACAATCTATGATAGGTATACCTGACGAGATATCGTAATTTCCCGAACCTGCCCACCTTAATCCTCACTCTCGGTCGAAGTTGGACTTACCTAGTCGGACTATTTGTCCCAGGTAAACGTACTCGTCAACAACTTCGAGCATAGTGCTCCCAACAACTACCGGCATAGGTGTGACATGGACATTAAACATGATCTTTCTTTTGTCCATTTTCATCTTAAGACCTATCCGTTGGGAGGCACTATTGAGGTCATTGAGCATAGTGCTTAAGTCCTCCAGCGATTCTGCCATAAGGACTATATCGTCGGCAAATCGAAGGTGAGTGATGTACTCGCCATTAATGTTAATACCGTATCCTTTCCAGTCCAGTAGCTTGAAAACATCTTCCAATGCAGCGGTGAAGAGTTTCGGGGATATAACGTCACCCTGTCTTACACCTCTCTGCAGTTGGATAGGTTTCGAGCTCTGGTTCTGTACTCGGATAGCCATCGTAGCCCTACTGTACAAACACTTCAGCACTTCGATATACCGACAGTCAACTTGGCACCGCTGAAGGGACTGTAGCACCGCCCAAATTTCGACGGAATCAAAGGCTTTCTCATAGTCCACATACGCCAGGCAAAGTGGCAGATTGTACTCTTCAGTCTTCTGTACAATCTGCCGCAGGGTATGTATGTGGTCTATGGTACTGAAGCCTTTTCGGAAACCGGCTTGTTCGTGGGGCTGGAAGTCGTCGAGCCTGCGTGCGAGACGATTCGTAATGACTCTCGAAAACAGCACGTAGACGCGGCTCAGAAGGTAAATCGGTCTGTAGTTCTTCAAGAGAGCGTTGTCGCCTTTCTTAAAGAACAAGACCACCGCACTTCTGCTCCACGCCTCTGGAGTAGTGCCACCATGGAGGACGGAATTGAAGAGCTTCTGAAGGACTTCAAGTACCGGCGTTCCACCCGCTTTCAGAAGCTCCGCTGTAATTCCATCCTCGCCTGGGGCCCTGCCGTTCTTAAGGTGCTGGAGAGCCATTCTAATCTCGCTTAGACTGACGTCCGGGATATCATCGGAATAGTGTCGGATAAGACTTGCTCTTGGATCGTTACTCACACTTGCGTGTGGCTCCAACGATGATGTGGACAGCTGCCCATAGAACCTCTCAATCTCACTCTCAGGTGTCCCCGAAACGATGCTGCCACACTCAGTCTTCAGCTTTGACAGTTGGCTCTTACTGGCAGACAGATCTCTGGCAAATGACTTTGGAGCCCTGGTTCCGCTCGATCACTTCTTTAATACGAGCAGTATTAAAGTTGCGTAAGTCTCGCCACATGTATTTGGAGATCTGTCTGTTCAGTTGCCTGTATGCTGTCAAATCTGTTGACGATTGCAGCCTCATCTCCCGTCTAACAGCCATGAGATTAAGAGTGTGATCGGAGAGTTTTTGTGCTCTTCTGTGGCGGGTCTTGCAGAACTTAGCTCCGACCGCATGGACAGTTTCCACAGCTTGTCATTCATATCGTCCACTGCATTGCAATCTTGTAGGCACTGAAAGCGGTTACGTAACTCGAGCTGAAAGTTTTCGGGATTCTGGATTAGAACACGAGGGGGGACGGAGCGTTGACTTCATTAGACGAGACCTCCCCAACTTAACGTTTAGGTTCAGTGTGCCTCTAACCATTCGGTGATCGCTGCCAGTTTTCACCCTTGTGATCACTGAGACATCACTGAACAGTTGGCGTCTGGTCGTCATAATGAAGTCAATCTTATTTTTTGTCGAACCGTCGGGGCTCGACCAGGTCCACTACCTGTGGGGCCGCTTCTGAAAGAAAGAGTTCATCATAAAGAGTCCCATAGTCTTTCTCCATAAAGTCGGCCAGCTGCTGGCCCCTTCGGTTCCGTTGCCCTACTCCAAATTTCCCTAACTTCAGCTCACCGTTTTCTCTTGTGTCTAGTTTTGCGTTGAAGTCTCCCATCAAC